CCCAAATGGGTCAGTTCTAGAAATGTCCTTATATGAGGAGTCATTGGATGTCGTAAGATAAATGTGGATATAGATCCAAGATCAGTTGTTAGTCTGATAAAGGCTGGGTGAGGGGCACTGTCTATTTAATAGTCCTCAAACAGTTTCTATCATCTCCTTATTTAATCTTTATACTTATTCCCTAATTTTTAATGTTTCATGTGAATCTTCACCAAACGTTTTAATTAAGGAATGACTCTAGTTGTCATTTCATCAGTGCTTTCCCAGCACTCTTCCCATCTCCCATGGAAGGGGCTGCTCCCAAAGCTTCAAACCTTCTTCTTCCCTAGAACCAGACTCCCTTTTCTTCCCATATAGGAAGTTTCAAAGGAGTTCTGCTATTTTTAAAAAGGTACATTAACATGTTGAATAACTGTTATACATCTGGAACTAATATAATATTGTATGTCAATTATACTTTATAAAGTACATTAATGAATTTTTTTACCAAAAAGGGATTTTTTTTTTTTGATTTTTTTTTTACAGAAAAGCCTGTCTCCAGAGAAGTCTTTGAAAATAGTGGCATCCTTGTTACAGATGTAAATAACTTTATTGAAAATATACAAAAAGTAGCAGCTCCATTTAGGAGTAGCTATTGGTAAGAACACTTTTTCTATAACTCTTCCATGTCAGCTGGAATTGAAGGAAGACTCTGACATTTGTGTCTATGAGGGAACCATTTGTTAAAAAACTATTCTTTACCTTATCTGTTACCACGCTATAAATTAAAAATTATTATATAGGTGTGAAATTCTTAAGTATCCACTAATGAAATAACCAACCCAATTACCCATTTTCTCTGTAATGTGCATTTTCACCTGCAGTTCATCCTGATCACCAAGACAGATGATGTAATCTTAATAATGCATAGAAATTTTCCTATTAGGTAGCTAGTATACTACTTATAAAATAGTGGTTGGTTATTTTGTTTTAAATATGAAATTATTATCAATTTTATTTGACCAGGTTATTCAACTGTAGCTTGCCTAGACATCAGTAATGCCAACAACAAATTAGTATTTTCCCTTTTATTTGAAAAACTTTAAGACACATTAAAAAAGTCTTCCCTCTCATAATTGAAACAAATCAATGTTCTACAACTTGGGAAATTCCTTCTTTCATTTTTTTACATTTTTTTTAATTAGCTTCATTTACAATGACACATTTCACTTTGTGCTGAAGTATTAAATATTTAATTTAAAGCTATCAATTGAATTTACAGTTAAAAATAATTTCATAAACATATTTATTCAGTTGTAGCAAAAATTTGTCTATTTTAACCAATAGCTTTTTTTTACATGTTAATATCAGTAACATATAAGTAATGCACATTAATTCGTTTTAAAGGTTTTTACTACCCTTGTAAAAACTATAATCTCTAAGTGTTTCATTTGCTGTTATTCAAACACTACATAAAGCTAACCTTTTTTCCAAAATGGCACAAGTTTATAAACTGTCGTTTTCCACTTGTTTTGTAAATAGTGCACTTATAAAATCAACTCTGAGAAAAATTACTTATTTATGATGTTAAAAATAATTAAAATCTTTAAACATGAAAACCAAGCAAAAAAAAATGTAAGACACTTAGCATCTATTTGGAACAAAAGGTTTTTATAACTAATTTGTTCATTTTTTTAATAAAGACAACTGAAAAACCAATTGTTTCTGCAAGGACTTCATAGCAAAAATTAGTTTGTCAGGAGAGTTTTATCACTTTTTAGGCCACTTAAGCAATAATAACTGGGTTTCAGAGGAATACTATCACTTATATCATTTTGGCCCTGATCTGTCAGTTTAGTCCCAGCAAACCCGCCCAGTGCTTTCCCCTCCCAAGGTCATATGCACTGAGCTGCAAGCTACAGAAAAAAGGGTATTTATAGGACTTTTCATCTTGCCCTTCTATGGGGGCCATTAGACTTCTATACAGAAACTTCTTTCCAAAGCCACTCATCTATTTATGAGTTTTAATTATTTGACACTAGCTTTTGCTTAGAAACCCATTTTATTTTCACCTAAGCGTAAGATTCTAATAAGAGAATCATAACACTGAATTGATTTGAAATTAAAGAAAAGGAAACATTTATTGAGCACCTATTACTACCACCTGTCAGGTGCTATCTGTCCAGTATAGTCATCTTTAAAGTCGTACCTCAAATGTTCGTCTCCCCTTACTGAAAAGCCTTTCAACATCCAGTCCAAAGGCCATCAGTCCCACAGCACCATTTCTTTATTTTAACACTTAACCAAGTCACAGAACAATGGGTCTAACCTGGACTATAAGCTCTTCCAGAAATTGTGCCTTTGTCATTTTTGTACTCTGTTGGCCTGGGACATAAAGTCCTAATCTCTGCTTTCTATTTAATACCAATCAGTTTGTACAAATTGCATGTTTGACCATATAGCGAGCTGATTTTTAAGTTCATAGTTTTGTATTTTTTTTTAATATATTTTATTGATTTTTTTAGAGAGGAAGAGAGAGGGATAGAGAGCTAGAAACATCGATGAGAGAGAATCATCGATCAGCTGCATCTTGCACACCCCCTACTGGGGATGTGCCCGAAATCAAGGTAACATGCCCTTGACTGGAATCGAACCTGGTACTTCGGCAGAGAGTTTTGTATTTTTTAAGTTGATAGTTTTGTATGGCCTGAGAATATCCAAGTGGCCCTTGGCAGACAAAGGTTCCCCACCCCTAACATGAAGCAGTGGTTCTCAACTTGGGTGATTTTGTCCCTTATAGTATAACATCTGGAAGACACTTTGGTTCTCAGGCTAGGAAGGTACTCCTGGCATCTAGTGGGTAGAGTTACATCAGAGATGCTGATAAACATCATACAATGCACAGGACAGTCCCCCATCACAAAGAATTATCTGGCCAAAACGAGTAGTGTGAGACTTAGAAACTGAGCTAAAGTAAATCAAATAATCTAAGTAATAATATAAATTACTATCCTAATTACTGTAACAAATTAGTCATGTGTCCTAATCATATGTCTTTCAAACATAACTATAAGAATCAATATTAATACATCTATACAATGGAATACTATGCTGCCATAAAAAAGAAGGAATTCTCATCATTTGCAGCAACCTGGATGGAATTGGAGAACATCATGCTGAGTGAAATAAGCCAATCAATGAAAGAGAAATACCACATGGCCTCACTCATTGGTGGACAATAAAGCTCTTTATAAACTGATGAACCAAGAGACAGAGATAGAGAAAGTAAAACAACAGGCAGACTATCAAATTACAATGGGGAGGGGAGGAAGATCTGGGGGAGATAATAGATCAACCGAAGGACTTGTATACATGCATATAAGTACAACCAATGGACATAAAACTCTGGGGAGGGAGGGGATGTGGGGGAGGGAGGGAGGGGGGTAAAAAAAATCAATAAAATATGTAAAAAATAAAATAAAATAAAATAAAAAAATAAAAAGAATCAATATTAAGCCTCTACGAATACCATTAAGATGTCTTCATTCGTCCAGTAGCTAGTACTGTATATGCTATTAGAGAAAGGAGATCCCAGTTAAAAACAACTTCTAATTACAATTTAAATTACATGAAAATTTTTAAAGCATCTATCCATCTGATAATTACCTTATTCTCTTACAAATGCAACCTATAAGAATTATCAAAGGCAATTAACTTGCATTTAAACAAAAAGAGTACTTGTTAACCCCTACTAAGAATACTAAGCCCTCGCCAGTTTTCTCAGTGGTTAGAGCGTAGGCCCTCAATTCCAGTCAAGGGCACGTATCCTGGTGGCAGACTTCATCTCTGGTTCTGGTTGGGGCGAATTCAGGAGGCAACCAATCAATGTCTCTTTCCCCCATCAATGTTTCTCCTTCTTTGTCTTTCCCACTCGCTTCCACTCTCTAAAAATTACTGGAAAAATATCCTTGGGTGAGGATTAACTAAGAAACAAAAAGATTTCCAAGACGAGTCAAGAAATTAATTTAGGGTCTACTCACAGGGAAGCCAGACTTGCTTCTTTCCCCATCCAAGTTTGAACCTTCACATGCTGTTAGTAACTGAGCATTCCACTCCAGCATCTCTCCTAGCATGGTACAGCTCTACTAAGGGAAATAAACAACTGTATCATGGTCAGCACAATGCTTACAGCTCTGAACATCAGGGAACAAACAGACCAGTCGAGAGGGATTTGGTTTCCAGAGTCTGGCTTTATTTTGCAGTACAGAAATCATTTGGAGCCATTTTGAGGCAGACATCATTGAAGAAGAGGCTCTGTCAAATCAATACTGCATTGCAGCTTGGTCCGTGAAAAGGCCACACCTGGGATATGATAGAAGCTTCTACATTTACCTGCTTTATGATAGGTTCCTATCTCCTTTGCACTCATCAATTAGATTAAAACACCACACAGGCTTCCCCTAAAATGACTCTTGAAGTCTGGAGTTCAGTTAGAATTTTAAGCCCACATAAACCAAACCTGTGGTGAGGCTACATGGACACTATCATAATACTTGACAGGACCAAAATGTAAATCTATAGTGAAGACTTCGGTACACTCTCCCAAATTATTCAAATCTGCTTAATATTGAAGACGGATGGCACACAAATTGTACTGGTCCAGCTCTTGAGCAGCAGAAACACATAACTGTAAAGGCTACATTGATTAAAAGATACAGATACTGTATCAAGATCTTTGTGTCAGTATCACAATGTTTTTTTAAAACTTATCCTTTACTAGGAAAAAAAGCCAGCATTGGTTAAACAGTACAGAATATGGTCACCTGCCAATTCTGAACAGCCACTCCATGAATACAAGTTAATACATGATATTAGAAAGGGGAGGAATATTTACTTATGCAGTGCTCTGCAATCTCTCTGTTTGGATTATAAAAGCAGGCCTTACAATATTGATTCCATACAATATGCATTATTTGCCAAATTTTAAGTCTGTCCTAATTAGATGATAACATGTGCTGCTGTTAGTCTTCCCCATAGATGTCATTTTTCTTGCGCTTCATTTCCTCAAAGTCAAACTCTGATCCTGTCATCCTCTTATAGATGTCTTTAATGTCATCACAGGTTGTCTCAAAGTGAGTTGTAGCATCATATGTACGGGAAATAAAGATCTGAAAATAAAAATTAAAAATACTTGAAACTAAGGAAATCTCCTAATAAAACATGATAATACTCTTTTCAGATCACCACACTTACCTGGCTTTCTGTTCCCAAATCTTTTGGTACAAGCAGGTCACTGATGCTAACGAATCTGAAGGAGAAAAAGAATTAAGTGAGCAGGTGAGCTGACCCCACACACATTCACTGATTTGCCTGAAATTCAAAACCCAAAAGATGAGATTGGTGGAGATGATGGCTCTTTCTTTCTTCTCATTGGGTTTACCCCACCATGGAGCCAAAATTAATCTAGGATTTTAGCTGATATAAATGAACACATCACTTACTTCTGTTCAATTGGTTCCAAGAGCTCCAAAGCTGGTCTGATTTCTTTCTCGGGTTCCTTGGTCTCCACAGTTGTACTGACTATGGCAATGTACTTCCCTTGTGCTGCCACATTGTGTGCAGAGGAGATCATGCAGACATAGATATCTGGAAATAAGTAATGCCATCTCACTGCCAAGGTTTGTAAAACGTGAGCATCAGGTGTGTACACTCAGGTCTCACCCGTATTTCGAGGCGTGAATTAAAATTACTTAGAATAGACAGTACCTTCTAAGCTTAAAGTTCAACGTACATGGAGGCAAAAAGGGTCAGACATAGAATATGCAAATATTCAGCAGCTTTTTAGCCTTTTGGAGATCAAGGATTTATGTGGCAGTGAACTGCTGGACATGAAATTTCTCTTCCCAGCATTTTCACAGCTATGGTGGAAAGCTGGCAAACCATATTAACTGCGCTGAGGTCTCTGTCTCTCTGAATCTTGCATTGCAAAGGGGTTTGAATGGCTAAGAAAGGTTTCATTAAGTATAGATGCTCCTCAACTAACAGAGGGGTATATCCTGATAAGCCCATCATAAATATCAGAAGTCAAAATGCATTTAATACATCTAACCTCCCAAATATCATAGCCTAGCTTAGCACACCTTAAATATGCTCAGAAAAGTTACATTAGCCTATAATTGGACAAAATCATCTAACACAAAGTCTATTTTGTAATAATGTTGAGTATATCAATTTATTCAATACGGTGCTAAAAACGATGTTGTATAATTAATCAGTTTCGCACCAACTTGACTTAATCATTAAGTCAAACCATCGTTAAGTGGGGACCTTCCATATTGATTCCTCACATATTTAATATAAAATTACAAATCAGCAAAAGCTATTCTTGAGTTGGCATAATAAACTCATATAATTCCATAGGTCTACTTGTCTGTATACCAACCATTAAGTAACTACATTAATTTCCAAAATAGAAAACAATTACTGGGCTCCCTTTTGTTATTTTCACTGACCAAGGAATCTGTGGAAACCCTGTAAAGGTTACTTTAGTACAAGTCCCTTTGTTCTAGTAATAAATCTGTGATTTGGATTCCTATACAGAAAAAAAAAGTAAACACAGGTGCTTTTAATTATTTCAAAGCCAAAAACCCCTTTTTATAATTGATTTTTGTTAAAAGATTTAGGACTTCAGGAAGAGGTAGTAGATGAAAACTGCTGGTTAAAGCAAATAAATCAGGAATTACTATTTTAGAAATCCTGATTTTAGAGAAATTTAAGTTGTATGCTAGCACACTGTTAAAATTATATATAAATAATAAGTTTACAAATAATGACATAAAAACACCACTATCATCTCAAAATAGTGGCGTCACTAACAAGCTAAACCTTTACAGGCACATAATGTTGGAACTGGAGAATTGAACTGATCATCATATTCCAGTTCAGCCTCTGGAATTCAAAGATCCAAAGCAGTAGATGCAAACCTGAGGCAGGACTCCTAGGCTAATTTAACCATTTAATGTGATGATTTAGGATCTAAATAAAAGGGATCCATCATATATTGTTTAAAAAAACTAAGGCTTTTTCACTCTAATAGATCAAATAAAACTGGATAAAATACAAAGTAAATTTTGTCTACCAAAATTCTACAAAAATCTGATTTCCAAAACTTACCTGACTTCCGATTGACCTGGTTCTGTGGAATAATGATCTGGCAGGAGTTGGCATCATTGGTATTCTTGATGGGGTGACTGAGGATACAGATAACACGGATCACCTGACCCACTTTTTCTACCCGATCTTTTACATAGCTGGGGTCACAGATGAGCTGCTTACAACGAGCAATCTGTAATAAAACATTTAAAGATGTTATAATATCATGTGTCCATGATGTTTTTAGACAGTATAGTGATACCATAGGATAACTATTAAAACTCTCTCTGCCAACAATCTCTACAAATTTTCCTGGCACAGATTCATTAATTCTAAACCCTATTCAAATATTAGGAAAACTGTTGCAGTATTCAGAAGTTTTAGAACTAGGCAGATCAATGTTCATATCCTAGCTTTTTGAAATTTCAAAGGGTGGTTGTTAGGATAAACTGAAACAATGTAATTAAGGGTTGTCATTATATGAGAAGTATCAAATAAAGACTCTTTAGTAAAATGTTCTATAAGTAGTACTAGCATTGCAAATAGACCAAAATACCATTTTAACACTAGGCTTTTTAAGTAAAACTTAACTTGCCAGATACATATTTTAGTCTTCTTCCCCTTTACATCAAAGCTTTGAAATTTTAATACAAACCAACCAAAATCATCCTCATTTTAACACTATGCTTTCTAAGTAAAACTTAAGCTGATATATATTACAGTCTACTTTGTATATCACAGCCTTGAAATTTCCTGAGTAGCACCAGCTATGTGAAGCAAAAAAGAATGCGGGGGGGGGGGGGGGGGGGGGGGACACGACCTGCAATAAAAAGGATTTTGAGCCCTGGCTGGGTGGCTCAATTGGTTAGAGCGTCATCCCGTAAACTAAAAAGGCTAAAGGCTTAATCCCAGTTAGGGCACATATATGGGAGGCAACAATCAATACCCCCCCTCTCTAAAACCAATAAAAACATATCCTCAGGTGAATATTTAAAATGGACTTAAGGCATAAGGTAGTTAACAAAAGATATGCAAAAGTAAAAGTTCAGATGGCCAACTATTGAGTGTTGCTTATATGGTCTTAACCCATGGAATACCAAAATATTCTTTGTGCCCAGCTGCATGGCTCAGTGGTTCAACATTGACCCAGGAACCAAGAGGTTGCCAGTTCAATTACTGGTCAGGGCACATGCAGGCTCCATGTTGCAGGCTCCATCCCCCGTGTGGGGCATGCAGGAGGCAGCCAATCAATGATTTTCATCACTGATGTTTCTCTCTACCCCTCTCTCTTCCTCTCAAACCAATAAAAAAGAAAATGTGTGTGTGTGTTCTTTATAACTTAGTTTCTGAGTTTCCTTTTTGAGCATTTCTATTTGTAAGAGGCGATAGTTCATGGAAGTGGAATAATCTGGTTTGCAGACCAATAGCATCTGCCACGCCTGAGAGCCTGGAAGAAAATGTAGCCCCACCTCTCAACATTTACTGAATCAGAATATGCCCTTCAACAAGATTCTATGGCCCGGCAGGTGTGGCTCAAGTGACTGTGCATCAACCAATGAACCAGGAGGTCACAGTTCAATTCCCAGTTATGGCACATGCCCTGTAGGGGGCATGCAAGAGGCAAGCCGATCAATGATTCCCTCCATTGACATTTCTACCTCTCCCTCTCCCCCCCCTTTCTCAAATCAATAAAAATTTGAGAAATTTTTTTTTTAATTAACTGACATATTCAATCCAAATGTTAGGCACTACTCAAAACTCCACCTAGCCAGCTCCACAAATGAACCCCAAATTCAAAGTTAATTAACATTAATGCCAGTGGCTGAGCAAGAGGTCACGGTTCAATTCTCTCTCAGAGCACGTGCCCAGATTGTGGGCTCAATCCCCAGTATGGGCATGCTGGAGGCACCTGATTGGTGATTCTCATCATTGACGTTTCTAACTCTTCTCTCCTACTTCCTTTCTCTCTGAAATTAGCAAAAAAAAAAAAAAAAAAAATATATATATATATATATATATAAAACATTGTTAATATTTAACAATTTATTAAATTACTAGAGGCCCAGTGCACGAATTCATGCACAGTTGGGTCCAGCTAGCCACCTCAGTGCACATAACAACCAGTCATTCCATCGTTCTGGTCACTTGGCTTTTATTTATATATATATATATATATATATATATATATATATATATATATATATATATATATAATATAATATAACAAAATAGTATTGCTTAATAAGCCCTATTTTAACAAATATAAGTGGTACTAACAAAGCTAAATTTAAATAAATTTGAGACAGGCATCAACCCACAGTATACCTCTTAGCACTCATCCATAGTGCATATTTTATAGTCTCAAAAAGAAGCAACAATCAACACAACAAAGTATTGATCTGTTTTCTTAAAGCACAAACTCAATTACTAGTCCTTAATCATAATGAATACCAGTTTATTATAAGAAATCAGATATCCATGTAGTCTGAACTCTAGCATCAGTGTCCATACCAAATTTAAGTACTTATTAAATAATAATGTTTTCTGCCGAATCTGGTTTGGCTCAGTGGATAGAGCATCAGCCTGCGGACTGAAGGGTTCCGGGTTCGATTCCGGTCAAGGGCATGTACCTCGGTTGCAGGCACATCCCCAGTAGGGGGCGTGCAAGAGGCAGCTGATTGATGACTCGGATGTTTCTAACTCACTCTCTCCCTTCCTCTCTGTAAAAAAAATCAAAATATATTAAAAATATATATTAAAAATGTTTTCTTCATAAGAACACAGTATATTTTAATTGTAAATGCTACTTTACCTCTCCTTCAGACTTAACACCAATCACTTTTCCATTTTCCACAATTATTTCTTCAATTGGTTTATTCAGCATGTAGGTACCTCCATAAATAGCACTTAGCCTAGAAAATTTTTTAAATTACAATAGGTAATTTATAATTGTTTCAACTACTAAAGTCTACTTTCTTAGATATTAAAGAATTATAAGAAATATATATCTGCTCAATTTTCTTCTAAAAGGCATTAGTTTAAAAGTCAAAGCATCAATTATAAAAAGTAATGAAAACTACTAAAAATGTATAATAATCAATGAGTATCAAGTAAGGAATAAAAACAGACCAATAGTGAAAGAATAGCTTAAATGTGTCTAATCCTCTTGCATATAAATAAAACTATCAAGAGGCTTCGGACAGTGACTAAACGCAGGCAGAGACTGGGGGAAATACTTGAAAGGAGGCAACTGGATGAAATCTTTATGTAGTTTATATGGACGAGTAGGAAAGAAGCAAAAAGCCTGTAGTCTTACAATCTTAGGATGACATAGGACAGAACTTGGGGTTGTTATGGAGATGAAAATTGGGGGCTTGGAGGAGGGAGAATCCTACAAACAGTAGCACCAAATCTCTAAAATCTCTTCCATCCTTAACTAACTCCAGAAGTACTTGCACATGAGGAAGACTCCAAGAAAGCCAGCAAAAAAGCAACAGCTGAAAAGCAAAAAGACTTGAGCAGAGATTACAGCTGTGGGTCAAAAGGACGAGTCTTAAGTTTGAAACTGCCTTATTAAATTAGGATCCTGGCAGACACCCTGAGCTTCCCAAGAAAAGCCTAGGACCATACATACTGTACCAAGACAAAAAGTCAGCCAAAAACAAAAGATCCCCTTTAAAAAGGCATAAAATCAAACCTCCAAAATTCAAAGTGAATTTATCTGCCTATTTGAAAATTAATACTCTTAAGAGAAAGACTCCAACATATATGTCTAGTATACACTAAAAATTACAAGTCATAAAAAAAATGATTCAAAGAGGATAAGCAATCAACATAAATTGATGCATATTACTACTATTAAAAAAAATGAGGAAGGTTAAAGACAACTATTAGAAATATGATCAAGGATATCTGGATCGATGGCTCAGTGGTTAGAGTGTCAGCCCGCGCACAAAGGGCTATGGGTTCAATTCCTCATCAAGGGCATGTGCTTGAGTTGCAGGTTCACAATTTGGGCATGTATGGGAAGCAACCTCTTTCACATCAATGCTTCTCTGTCTCTCACTCTTCCCCTTCCTTCCCTTCCTCCCTCTCTCTCCAAAAATAAATTGGAAAAAAAAAAAATATCCTCAGGTGAGGATTAATAAAACAAAACAAAAAAGAAAATTTGCAAACATCCTTGTTCAAAGATACATGTTCAAGAATGTTATAAATATATTTAGGAGAGTCAAAATGAGTTACACAGAATCTCACAAGATAAATTATATCTGAAAATAGAAATTCTAGATCTACAAAGTACAATGTTGAAAAAAAACCTCATTGGGTGGGATTACCAGCCTATTGGAAATAAGAGAAACAAGAGTCAGTGAACTTGAAGACAAATGAACAGGCATTATCCAATGAAGTAAAGAGAGGGAAAAAATAGACAAAAAAATTAGCAGTGCTGGCTAAGTAGCTCAGTTAACTGGAGCATCCTCTTGATAGACTAAGGTTGTTCGATCCCCAGTGTAGGCACATACAAGAATCAACCAATGAATGCATAATGGCTGGAACAAATTGATGTCTGTCTGTCTGTCTGTCTGTCTCTCTCTCTCTCTCTTCTCCCTGCCCCCCGCCTCTCTCTCTAAAAATCAGTACAGCCCAGCCAGCATGGTTCCGTGGTTGAGCGTTGACCTATGAACCAGACGGTCAAGGTTCAATTCCCTGTCAGGGCACATGCCCAAGTTGAGGGCTCCATCTCCAGTAGGGTGTGTACAGTAGGCAGCCAATGATTCTCTATCACTGATGTTTCTAACCCTCCCTCCCTCCTCTGAAATCAATAAAAACATATTTTAAAAAATAAAAATCAACATATAAAAATGTTTTTTTTAATGAGCAGGGCCTCGATGACCTATGGAATAACACCAAGCATCTAATGTATAAATAATTGGTGTGTCAAAAGAAAAGAATATGGGATGAAATATCTGAAGAGGATAGTGATTTAAAATTTACCAATTTGATTTAAAAAAAATGAACTTACACGTTCAAGCATTTTAACAAATGCAAAGAAAAACCACACCTAGATAAATCCTAGTGAAAGTGCCAAAACCTGAAGAAATTTTTGAAAATAGCTAAAAGAAAAAAAAAAAACACTCACACTATATACATAAACAGGGTAGTTTATGTGTATATATATATATATATATATATATACATATATATGTGTGTGTGTGTGTGTGTGTGTGTGTGTGTGTGTGTGTGTATACACATAAACTACCCTGTTTCCCCGAAAATAACAGTGTCTTATATTAATTTTTTCTCCCAAAGTTGTGCTAGGTCTTATTTTCAGGGGATGTCTTATCTTTCCATGCGCTAGGTCTTATTTTCGGAGGATGTCTTATTTTCAGGGAAACACGGTAGTAGTGACAGCTAACATACACAAATTCATACACACACAAACTAAATTTTAAAAATTAAAAGGATAGCCCTGACCAGTGTTCTCAGTGGTTACAGGATCAGTCCAAGCACTGAAGGGTCCTGGGTTCAATTTCCAATCAAGGGTAATCCAAACCTGGGTTGCAGGTTTGATCCCCGGCTTTGGTTGGGTTATATTAGGGAAGCAAACCATCAATATTTCTCTGTCTCACATCAAAGTTTCTCTCTCCCCCCACCTCACTTCCTCCTACTCTGCAATATTAATTCAATGTCAATACCCCTTCATAATAAAAACTCAGCAAGATATAAATACAGAAAATTTTAATCTAGAAAAACATATTTGATATTAAAATACTGAAAACATTCCCCTTAAGACTTGGAACAAAGCAAGGCTGTCCATTCTCACAACTTCTAATCATCAATTTTCTATTAATCCTAGCCAGTGCATAAAGGCAGGGGAAGAAAAGGAGGAACACAAAAGTTGTAAGAGAAGAAGCTAATCTCTGTTCAAAGATGAGACAACTGTGTACAAGGGAAATCCTAAGAAATGTATAAAACTAAATATGTCAATATACATAAATCATATTTCTGTATATTAGCTGCAAACAACGCTAAAAATAAACTTTCATTAACAGCAACATCAAATAATCACACGACTAAATTTGAACCAAAAAAATGCTAGACCTTGACAATGAAAGCTACCAGACATTGCTGAGACAAAGAAAACCTAAATATATGAAGAGAGAAAATTCATGCATTGGAAAACTCAGTATATTATTAAGATAACTCTCCCCCAAATTTATTTTTTTATTAAATTTATTGGATGACACTAGTTAGTAACATCATATAGGTTTTAAGTGTACATTTCTATGATACATAATCTGTACATTGCATTGTGTGACCACCCAAAGTCAAGTCATTTCCTGTCACCAAATATTTAGCCCCCTTTATTCTTTTTTTTTCCCCTTTATTCTTTACTACCCTCCTGTTCTACAGATTTAATTCATCCTGATCAAAATCCCAGCAAGCACTTTTTCTAGAAATTGACAACCTGTTTTAAAATATATATGGAAGTACAAGACCTCAAATAGCCAAAACATTTTGGAAAAGAACAAAGATGAGGACTTGAATTACCTGACTTTAAGACTTACTATAAAATTATAATATTCAGGACAGTGTGGTGATGGCATAGGAAAATTAAATACATCACTGGAACAAAAGACATATATATGGTCAAATGATTTTCTGCAAAGGCACCAAGACAACATGAAAAAGAAATCTTTGCAACAAATAGTGCTAGAACAACTAAATATCGGTATGAGAAAAGTGAACTTATGAGCCCTACCTCACCCCATACATTAATGTTATTTTAAGATGAACCACTGATTGAAACACAAAGCTAAAACTATAAAGCTTTTAGAAAAAGACATAAGAGAACATCTTTATGCTCTTGAGCTTTCTTAGGACCCCCAACATTGTGTGTGGGGGTTGGGGGGGAGAGGGGGGAAGAGCCCAGCATGGCACAGTGGTTGAGCATTGACATGAACCAGGAGAGGAAGGAAGGTTCAATTCCCTGTCAGGGCACATGCCTGAATTCTGTGCTCGATCCCCAGTGTGAGGTGTGCAGCAGGCAGCCAAACAATGATTCTCTCTCATCATTGATGTTTCTCTCTCCCTTTCCCTTCCTCTGAAATCAATAAAAGTATTTATTGATTTTACAACATAAAAATGTAAAGCTTCTGCCACTGAATGGAAGAAAACATTTATAATGCATATATCTGACAAAAGACTTGCTGCCAGGATGATACATCAAGATTTCCTACATATCACAAACAAAGACAACCCAATCTTTAAAAATGTACAGAAGACATGAACAATCACACCACAAAATTATACTAACCGCCAAGAAGCTCATGAAAAGGTGATCAATAAAAGTGCAAATTAAAACTATAATGAGATACCATTTCATTTAAAAAGACTGAAAATACAAATGTTGACAAGCATATAGAGCAACTAAAATTCTCAGGCATTGCTGAGTATAAAGTGGTACAATCACTCAAGTATCCATAAAGGCAAGAGGGTATATTCACATAATGGAATACTACTCAATACCTTTTAAATGAACTACCACCAGCATATGTATCAACATAAATGAATCTCAAAAATATTAAGCAAAGGCCAGACACAAATGAGTGCATATTGTATTATCCCCTTTATATAAACTTCAAAAACAGGCAAAAGTATTTTATAGTGATAGAAATTACAAATGTAATTGTTATGGTTGTGGGGGGGGGTAATTATGAGATGATGCAAGGGAATTTTCTGGAATGAGAAAAATGTTATCTTAATACTGGAGTTTTTATTACACAAGTTGACACATTTATCAAAAAACATTTTTACTGCATCTCTGTGGTTTCATTGTATGTGAATTTTACTTCAAAAATAAAAAGCATCTCATTATTCACAGGTGTATCTTGTCTCATTTTTCACAACCGTATCTCATATACTTCTGTTGAAGATGAAGTTCAGAATCAGTGGGGTTTTAGCAAGTAGGTTAAATATGGGCTCTTACCTTGCAAATCCTTGTGGCAGCTCTCCAAGGCCATACAGTGGATAAAGGTATGGGCTTTTGCCATATCTTGCCAAAGACTCACTGTAAAGTTTAATCCTGTTAATGGTTTCACAACATGGTTGATCTAAATAGCTGGAGAAGAGGAAATAAATATTACAAAAGGCTTCGGTTTCATTCTCGTGTTCAATTTAAGATATTTTTCTGTAGGGATTTCAACTCATTACCTTTACATTTTACTGATAAGGTTCTAACATTAATTTGTAACTAGAACCTCTTCTTTCAGTATATGACATGACTATATATTTGTTTAGCTAGAATTTCCACATTGGAGAACTAGGAAATTCAGTTAGCATTCCAAAAAATATATAAATCTAAAAACCAGAAAACTTACTCATCAGTTCTGTAAAGCGCCAGGGCATGACCAGTAAAATCTATAACATCTTGGCCCAAATCAAATTTCTTATACACCTCTCGCATTGCGGTCTTCTTAGGATCAATGCCCTCAAATGTTCTAGCATCATTTTCATCGAAGTTGGCAATATATACTAGGAATTTTCTGAAGCGACGTTTTTCAAACAGCCCCATTAAGCCTAAAAGATAATTTTTCAAAAAGCTCACACTCACAATAGAACACTGGAGAAAAGAAAGTATGAAAGGAAAAGTTTAAACTTGCCATGTTATTATCTGAAGCTCTTCTAACACAGTGTGCAATTTAACTAGTTAACTGCCACGTTATTTGGAATTTAATTAAAAAGGTCCTCCCTTGCATCTATAGATGTTTATGATGTACAAATGGTTAAGATATGAACATTTGGACAACTTTAAAATAAATATACATAATTACAATAGATCAGTTAGATCTTTAATTTTAAAGTGCAATTACAACCAGTACTTAATTTAATTTTAAAGTACAATTACAACCAGTATATCTAATTATGTTTCTTATTAGGTGCAAGGTAAACATGAATTTGCAAAAACTATTTATTCACGAAGCATCCAACTGAATGTTGTTTTAACAACTCTGATTGATACTCGGCCAACTGCCTAAAATACTGTATACTCTTCCTTATCTGTATTTAGATGTTGATTATACTGCTAGTCACTTACTTTAATGAAGTCCTAAATAATCAGTTCACTGCTTTGTACACTAAGAAGTAGTACATTATCCTATATAATAAAAGCCTAAGTGGCATCCACAAGTTGGCTGTGCACACAGCGGAGGCAGGGCCTGGGGGCCGCTCCATGCTCTGAGGCCTGGGGATCCTGCGTTCCGCACTGCGTGGAGGAGGGCCACAGCAGGGGAGGGCAGTTGTGGGTGATCAGGCCAGCAGGGGAGGGCAGTTGGGAGCCATCAGGCCAGCAGGGGATCAGTTAGGCATCAATCAAGCTTACAGGGGAGCGAATAGGCGGTGATCAAGCTGGCAGGCAGAATTGGTTAGGGGCAATCAGGCAAGCGAGCGGTTAGGAGCCAGTGGTCCTGAATTGTGAGAGGGATGTCCAACTGCCTGTTTAGGCCCAATCCCTAAACTGGCAGTAGGACATCCTTTGAGAGGTCCCAGATTGGACAGGGTGCAGGCTGGGCAGGGAAAACAACTCCCTCACCCTGTCCCCAGTCCCCGCACAAATTTTGTGCACCAGGCCTCTAGTATAGCTATAAATGACCACATAATAAATCCTCAGACATTCCTATTAGTCAGTTCCTACTACTAGTATACTCAGCAAGTAGAAAGACAAAGATAAAGAAAAAGGAAATTTTCTGGTTTTACAATCTTTTTCCCCCTTTCCTAAAATGTACAACTACTTTCAAAAGCAACCACAGCTTTAAAAATAACAAATTCTTAAATGTTTCTGTTTTATCAGTTGGTAGTTTAATGTTTGATATTTTTAACATTCTTTCCCAAGACTATAACTGAAACATACAAAACTGAAAGTTCAAATGAACATGACCTGATCTGGTAGCTCAGTTGGTTAGAGCATCTTCCAGATATGCCATCTTGCAGGTTCGATACCAGGTCATGACACACAAAAAAAATCAACCAATAACCCTAATTGGTTTGGCTCAGTGAATAGTGTGTCAGCCTGCGGACTGAAAAGGTCCCAAGTTCAATCCCTTGGTTGTGGGCACATCCCCAGCAGGGGGTGTGGTGTGCAGGAGGCAGTTGATCAATGTTTCTCTCATGTTTCTCTCTCACTGATGTTTCTAATTCCCTACCCCTCTCCCTTCCTCTCTGTAAAAAAAAAAAAAAAAAAAAAAAATCAACACATTTTTTTAAAAATTCGACCAATAAATGAGTAAGTGGAACAACAAATTGGTGTTTCTTTCTTACCCTCCCCCCCCATCAGTAAAAAAAAAAAAAAAAATACAACCAAAACCGGTTTGGCTCAGTGGATAGAGCATTGGCCTGCAGACTGAAAGGTCCCAGGTTCGATTTCAATCAAGGGAATGTACCTGGGTTGTGGGCACATCCCCAGTAGGGAGTGTGCAAGAGGCAGCTGGTCGATGTTTCTCTCTCATCGACATTTCTAGCTCTCTATATCTCTCCCTTCCTCTCTGTAAAAAAATCAATAAAATATATTAAAAAACAAACAAAAAAAGAAACTGCCAAACTACTTTACAAAGTGACATAAAAAAGTGAAACGCAATGGCTTTTCATCATTTAAAAAAAAAAATTACGGCCGAAACCGGTTTGGCTCAATGGATAGAGCGTCGGCTTGGGGACTGAAGGGACCCAGGTTCGATTCCGGTCAAGGGCATGTACCTTGGTTGCGGGCATATCCCCAGTAGGGGGTGTGCAAGAGGCAGCTGATCGATGATTCTCTCTCATCGATGTTTCTAACTCTCTATCTCTCTCCCTTCCTCTCTGTATAAAATCAATAAAATATATTTAAAAAAAAAAAAAAATTACGAATGATTATAAGGCTATTAATGACAGCTGACTACATTTTTTACAACCTACCTTTAAAAAATGGACAGAATGCATACATTAGTAAAGACTTAAAGCTAAAAAGAAATATTCTATCACCACATCAGCATCATAATTAAGACTCAAATTTAATTGTCTGGTGTTGGGTGAAAGACTAACAAAGAAAATGAGTCACCACTATAATGCGCTTATGAATCAGGCATATTCTGGTGGATGCTGCCTATTGGAACCTAAAGCTAATTGGGGGTTACTGTGTAACTTTTTAAAAAATCAAAATAAAAACCTAGTGTCTTCTTAAATTATTCTCCCTTTCCTCTTTTTTTATTCCTCCCTCCCCTCATGTCTGGTTGACCTTGTTTCACAGCCGAGCAGATTGCTCTAGCAGCTTCTCCGCCCCTTCCATGGTGCCATGAATGGTGCCAACTAGTGATCACCAGCACTAGCAGTATGGCATCAGAACCACTGCAACTACAAGCATTTAGAGGTCCACTGCTCATTCTGAATGTCATAATTGAAAGAGTTAAAATATTTCCTACTGTATAATTTTATAACAGCTTCTATAATGATGCCTTCCTAGTTAAAACTATACCCCCATACTCTCTCCACGTTCCAACTTTCTATACAGCAATATCATCATCACTAGTGACCTGGTGCATGGATTTGTGCACATTGAAAGGAAATTAATTAGAAGGTGGCCGGCGGGGTGGGACTGGGCGCGACAGGCTTTACACACACTCAAGCCAACCTCCCATGGTCCCAAGCGGGCATCTGTGGAGTGAGCGGGATCCCTCTAGCAGGTGGGTCCCTTGGCCTGGCCTGTGGGGATGGGGCCAAAACCGGCTCTCTGACTCCCCAAGGGGTCCCGGAGTGCAAGAGGGCACTCTGCAAAGTTGCTGTCATACAGGGTGTGGACCACAAATGTAAGTGTGCAATAAACCAGATTCGGAGCTGACAGTACCCCAGCAACAACAAAACCCACAGCCAAAAGTAGAATCACGGGGCTTGGCACGAAATCGGGCTCCCTCCACTCTGGTTTTGGGGTGCATCACCCAAAAACTACTGCTGCCAAGTCACTGCATCTCAGCAGCTCCTGCGTTGAAGCTCTGCACCTTGGTGGTCAATGAGTGTCATAGCGACAGGTAAGATGTTCAGACACTTAGCGTATTAGCCTTAACGTACTTTTCCTTATTTACTTGTAGCCTGTCTCCTAATATAAACTCTATTAGGGAAACAATTTTTGTTTACTTTTTTTCCTTCTGTTGAACTCTCCCTATTCCCAAACCCAGAAGAGTACCTGGCACATAAGCAAGTGCTCAATAAATATTTCATCCATATAATCTTATGGGAGCAAATATAAAAAGTTGACTTATTCTTATATTAGGTATACCATATAAAAACAAAAATATTAAAGTTATATTAAAAAATTAGAAAAAATCTTTTTTAGAGTCCCCTGACTAGTGTCTTACCTTCATTTCAAACAAATTTGACTTTCCTTCATTCACTTGTACAATGAGGTTTACTTACCAAAAAAAAAAAAAAAATACACCAAGACTTTTAAAACCTACAAAATCCAGAGCAGTTTCGTAAGAGAATAAAAGCTTTTCAATTAACTAAGAGGTAACCATAAAATTTTTAAAATAATAAGGGTAAAAACAGTATCATAGCTGAAACTGGTTAGAGCGTCGGCGTGTGGACTTAAAGGTTCCAGGTTCGATTCCGGTCAAGGGCATGTGCCTTGGTTGCGGGCGCATCCCCTGGGGGGTTGGGGGGGACTGTAGGAGGCAGCTGATCTCTTCATCGATGTTTCTGACACTATCCCTCTCCCTTCCTCTCTGTAAAAATCAATAAAATAAATTTTTAGAAAAACAGTATCATAAAAAAATTAAGATATGGCACACAATATAGAATTCTAATGGTAGAATTAGAGGTGAAGGAAGAACAGCTACCTCAGACTGCCACAAGCCCTGGGGTTCACTTAGATCTATGATATCAAAGGTGATTTTTTGATATCGAGATGCTCCAGGCCCCAAGGGAACCTTAGCCTCATGGTAGTAAGAATAAACAAACAAGCTAAAGATTTAGCTTTTCAAAGCTATTCTTGAAAACTTCTCAAAACATTTCTGAACATACTAATGTTCAACATTCTGTAGAAGTCATATATATTTCTCATTGATTTCACAATAATAGTATCTGAATATACAACAAATTATTTACTGGAACCTTGGTGTTTTAGATGGCATCATGAACTATCTATCATGAGAACCAAGAGTGTCTATAGATCTGGGGGGAAAAAGCCAATAGTAACAGTCTATATTACCAGTAACAGAAGTATATTGTCCTAGGAAAGTAATAATTCCACTGACACTGAGCAGACAACATTTGGAGTATTATGTCTGGTCTGTTGCAATATTATTATTATATACTAGAGGCCCAGTGCACGAAAATTGTGCACTAGAAGAGGGAGGTCCTTCAGCCCAGCCTGCACCCTCTTGCAGTCAAGGAGCCCTTGGGGGATGTCCGACTAACAGCTAAGGCCCAATCCCTGAGGAGAGCAGGCCTAAGCCAACAGTCGGACATCCTTAGCGCTGCCACGGAGGCAGCAGAGGCTTCCATCACCGCTGCTACACTAGCCAGCTGTGAGCCTGGCTGAGGGATTCTGGCTGAGC